GGCGTGATTTATGGGAGTTTGACCAAAGTGTGTGGAGTAGAGTTCAGGGCCAGGTCAGCACTGTTACAAGATCAATGAAAAATACGCGAACTATAAAAGCCTTTTCTAAAAAGGGTCATTTGTAGACTAGTTGTATTATTTATGTGGGTTGAAGAGCACGGGGACATCATATTTACACTGTGTTAAAACTTGATTAGTTTTATATATTTCTCAACCTTAAAAAACATCGTTACTTTCTCCAGGTACTGGGTAGGCAGTACACATGTATGCTATACGTGAGTGCACTGGCAGCAGGATAACGTCAACACAACCTGCATTATGTGGACATCTTTTGTTCACATGTCCACATAGTGACTGTAAGTGTAAGACAAACAGGGTAACCGTAAGGTCATGACTAAATTCTGCTAAATGCACTTCAAAAATCTGTCCGATTTATCAAAAATCTGCCAAATTCCCCAGAATTACTCGAAATACACTATAAACACTTTAAATCACATGCAGATGTTGTAATATTGCCTTAATTAATGTTCAAATTACATCATAAACAATCTATAGCCACACAAAGATAATATGAAATTGCGTAAATTTCAGGCAAAACGCGGTTGGGTCACAACGAAATCCGGTTCCCAGTGGAACCTCAACACCTAGACCGGGCAACCTGTCCTGTTTTGCAAGGGTTTGTTTGAATAGATTGAAGCTTTTGTAAACAAATGTACTATTTTATTTTGCAAATTTGCTGTTTTTCTGTCAAATAACCATTTTTTGCAGAAATCTGCCAAAAATATCCATTCTGTCAAATTTTCTGTCAAACTCGTTTTTTTAACAAAAAATCTGTCAAAGGTAGCCGAAAACCGGCTAAAACGGTCACTATGAAGGCAAACTCATAACTATGCATCCCTGTAGACATTGTGTAGTATGCACACCTTATTGTACACTCATAGGCCACATATGCGCGGAGCATTTACAGGGTTCATGATGTATGTGCCTGAACTCCAGACCAGAAGTGTACATGTAAGTTGAGAACTCTGCGGTCTGCACACTCATACTTACTGATAAACAGCCTCAATACCGCCCCTCTACTACTCATAATCACCCTCCAGCAACTTGACATCATCCCTCATAAACACAAGCACTCTGTCAAGCAGTCCGTTGCTTGAAAAAAATGTTTTTGTCCAGTTTCAGTGGTAAACCAGAGGAATTGAGTGAAATTTTCAGTCTCGAGGGAGAATGGGCCGAATGAAATAAAACCCCTCAGTATTGATCAACAACTTCCTGTCAGTGATTTCCAACAAACCATTAGTTTGAGTACGTGCACAATGAGTGTTTTGTTGTGTGGACCTCATTTGATGTACTATGAGTAAATGAATAAACAATTAAGGAATTTGTTGTGGTTTTTGAATTCATCTGTTTCATTGAAAGTAAAAAAAAAAAAAAGTTAATTTTGTCTACAGGTCCATTGTATACATGAACATGTGTAAATGCAGTGGAATGGCACTAACTACAGAGTACGGTAATGTGGGAAAGTTCATGTCATGCGTGTAAGTTCAATATTAGGGGCAGTCATCTGTAAAAATAATGAGGCCGATAAACGAAGCACGGAGGAATAAATCATTCTTATTCCTGGATGCAAGGAGTAAGAATATCTCCTTTAGCAGTGGTAATGGAAAAAGCAACTAACTTACTGAGAATGTAGGGTTATATTTACATTTAGGAAATAAAGTTTTTATGCAAAATACAAGGATTGTACCTTCATGAGAACAATTTTTGTGTTCACTTGTACTTTGAAGTATTGATTTCTTTCTATCAAAACTGTTTACAACATTTGTTTGTAATTAAAAAATTCCTCAATGCATTAGGCCTATTCAGTGACAGCATTGGCTGAGCAGAAAACAGGTGTTTTTGTCAATGTATTGGACAGGACTATATCCTCAATTAAAGTTTACAAAAAAATTAAAATTAAAAACATTAGAGAAGACTAAGTGTAAGTTGAGGAGAAATTTGTAATTTGGAGCACATTATGGTATGTACAATGTACAATGTCTACGCCTGTGCATTTTTGCATGTCACATACATGTAGATGCATGTACATGTACATGTACGTGTATATTTCTACCTGCAGTCACAAATACTTGTGAACTCGCGGATCAATGTGCACAGATCAATGGGACTCCGATCAATCCCACGGAACATGGCAAGCAGACCTTAGTGGGGGACTGTGCGGCTAAATCAGGGTCTGTGTATTGACTGGCTTATGCCTCTCAAACAAGTTGAAGGTCTGCAGGATACATGCATCTGAAATCCAACTCCATTAGAAGATTTTTGGGGATTTTTTAAAGGATTATAGAAAGGAAGGACCAAGTCACTATAATGCACGGGCTCCGCTCCGTGCACAAGTACCCCCTCAACGGTATTAGAATGGAGAGTTGGGAGACCACAGGGCTGAAGATACTAGCCCATATGAAAAGGATTTATGGCTATGGTATTTAATTCTTACTTTGATGGAGAGACGATATACATGGTACCATGGTACCGTACATGCACATTGTATATTATACAAATATTGACTGCTTCGAGTGGTGTAGTAAAACTAGCCTCCCGAGGTGATCGTGGAAGCATTCTATTTTTGTATGCTCTTTGGATCACCGAGGGAGACTAGTTTTACTACACCACGAGATAAAGCAGTCAATATTTGTTTTATAACACCCCTCCCACATATTCTGCTTGAGTTTAAGTGATAGCTGATTAATATAACTTTAATAAATACGATTAAAGTGTATTTGAATACAAAATTAGTTGAAAATTTATTTACACTTCTCCAAACTACCCCTTCACAAAATGTTTGAACCCAGCTCTATAGCGCTAGCGCTTGGAACCGGCACACCCATGCCGTATACATAAATTCGCACACAATAGGCCTACCAGTTTTTAAGCGTAGTGGTTGCGACGGGTGTAGTACTTTTGGCCACAGCAAGATTGCAAAAATAGCGAATGTCAAGTGACTCGCTCTCGGCCAATACAGAATCTGTGGGTGAGGTGTTGTAATCTGTACTGTACTATTGTTATCTAGCTCAAAATACAGACACAGAATACATGTGTACACGTGTACATCATGTGCGTGTACTGTACAAAATTTGCCCAATAGTGTTATATTAACCTTGAGTTCAAGAAACCACATTCCTGTGTTTATACACCTGACCTTCCCTTTCAGAACACCATTGTTGATCATCACAATACCTGCTTTGGAAACAAAGAGTGACACATCATGAAACAACCCCAAACCAAATAATAAACAGAAATTAAAAATACCCTCAAATAACAATTAAAGTATACACCTGTTTTGTAAATAACATCCTGCGGTTGCATATTGCATTGGTGGCCGTTCTTACTTTGGTATCTATCGTCCTGTAAACCACAGTCAATTTTCACGTTACATTTTTGTAGTACTTAGTAAGCGAGTAGGTGGCTCCCACTATAACTGGTGGTCGTGTAGGCAGAAATCTGATAACAGCACCCACTGTGCAAATATTTTAACTGGTAACCGAATTCCATGTCAAAATATTGGGTCACATCCGTCCATCACATTCTGATACTGTCCGGCCCCGATATTGTTGACTTTGTGCTGGCGGGATTTTGAGAGGGGTAGTCTGTAACCAAATTGGTGTTGTCTTCAGGGCCGCCTTTAAAAGCAATGAGATTTTTGAGTTGCATAAAATGCAGCAATAATTTCCTTGCAACTTTTGTGAAACCTTTTATGACACCAATTTCCCCCATTTTTTTCCCCATCTACATTTTGACAATGTAGATGGTTTAAAAAAAAGAAAGAAAATGTCCTTGGGACTAAAAATACATTTTCTTACAATATTTGTCTCCTTGTCTCCTTGTATTTGTATAGTTGCCGGAATAGATAAGACTTAAAATTGCAGGTACATGAATGTGTATACATATTGGAAACTTCTTTTGCATTGGCAGATTTTTAAACATGGAAAGGGGTACGGAGTTAACAGATAAAAAAAAATGGTTCTTTATAATAAGCTTCAGCTAATTTACAACTTACAGTGTTTATTTGTGATTTTAACTTCAAACAAGCCTATACTATATTTATTGAAAAAAAACCCAACTTTTAAATTGTACCAGCCCATTCCAATGTTGTACTATTTTTTTTCTTCAAAATTGGGCGGAGCAAAGAAACTGACTGGAACAGAATATGAACCCGAGACCTCTAAAGCTGTGCACCAGAGTTCTACCAACAGAGTGGCCTCCCAAAATGTCAGGGTTTTTACTCAAGGGGCAGTAGTCACAACCTTCAATATTTCTGTTATTAAGACAATGTTGTCATACAGGTTTCCCAGCTAACACATCACGTTGCCACAACGTTGTGCAAAGTTGTGAAAATGTTGTCATTTGGTAACGTGTCACGATGACATTCAAGCAACGTTGACACAACGTTTGACTGTATAATTGTTGGTTGTAAAAATGTTGTATATTGGTAATTTGTACAACGTTGTACGAAAGTCATCATATGACATTGTATTGACGTTGTATGGTGGTCGTTTCACAATCGTTGTATTAAAGTAATAAATATGACGTTGTGGTTACGTTAAATGTAGGTGTTTTCATGACGTTGTTTTTAAGTTGTCAATGTTACGTTGTCAGAACGTTGTAATTTAGAATGTTTACAACGTTGCTGTGAGGTTATAATCATGACGTTGAGTTAACGTTCCATCTACATTATTTTATAACGTTTTTTTTCAGTTGTGAAAATCACATTGTCACGACGTTGTAGTTTAGTATTTCAAAACGTTGCAGTGATGTAAAATTCATGACGTTGTTGTAACATTGTACGTGGGTACTTTCACAACGTTGTTGGTATGTTGTTATTCTCACGTTGTCATGACGTTGTAGATAACAATTTACACCACGTTGCTGTGCTCATGACGTTATGATGACGTTGCATAAAAGTCTCACCATAATGGTGTTGTTAAGTTGTCAATTTCATGTTGTCGTGACATTGCAGTTTGGTATTTTCATGTTGTGTTATGTTGAGAGCTCACGTTGCTGTAACGTTTTATAAAGGTGTTTTGACACTGAATTTAAGTTGCAATTATGCTGTGCGTTACGATCCATGCTGTTTTGGTATTGACAAAAACATTGTGATTACGATTTACTGAATGTGAAGTGAACATAATATGTTTTAATTAATGATGTTTTATTTGATAATAATTAACATTTGGGTGCCGCCTTGCATTAATAATGTAACTTATGAAATTTCGAACATCATCATGTTTGTTTTGTCGTAGTAGGAATATAATGTTTCCAGATATTTTTCTAATGGTCTAAGATGGATGAGATCGTGGTCAAAGCGCGACTGTTTCCCGCTCATATTCATTGTTGAATACTCAATGTATACATGTACTTTATTGCACACACCAACGTAACTAGAAATATGATTCCTGTTCTCAAAGAAAATATTACCATGGCGCATGCGCATCAGCAGAAATTCCACGTCCAGACCGCGTGATAGCTTATTTGAATTGCTCTGCTCAGTCGAGTCAGCAATCGAGCAGCAGCAGCTCACTATAACGGTCGCCGACTCGCCGTCCAGTTGATGTGAAGTAGCCATGGTCGCCAAGCAAGTTATTTTCACTACAGCATTTCTTAGAAGGTAGGAATGAAATTTTCTGTATCTTGACTTCATTCTTGTGTCGAACACATTGTCTAAAAATCTGATGAAAGGATCAAATTAAAGTAAAACAACTTTTTGAACAAAGTCGCTGTCAAAAAATGAAGATTTTCCTATGCCTATCATCTTTGGGTTTTTTTAATAATTGTTGAAAATGTTCTTCAGACTCGATCAGAATAAATGTAGATTAATTAGGAGTGAAAATATGTGCCTCAATTGAGATTGGAGGCTCGTCAATGCGAACAGTTTTGGAAATCATACACTGAAAGAAACGTTCAAGTCATCTGGTTTTCAATTTGATAATAAAATCTTGGTATTATTCCAAGGAAATATTATACATGTGGATCAGATTTACTCGAATTCATGTTAGACCTTTTTAAAAACGTTTTAGGTTGGAAAGTTATTTGTTCGGTAGTTATAATTTTACATAAAACAGATATTGTTTTAGCAATTGGTAAAAATGGCAAAAGTGTATACATTATATCGAGAAGACTTTTGATTTGTGTACTATAGTATATGCCTATGTTTGTATTTTTTCCTTCAAATTGATGAATTAATTAAAATGTAAAAATATTGTATTGAGATACCCATGATACCCGAGCCAACAACCGTGAAATTGTTACCTGGGGTATCTCTTAATTTATATATCTGAGTTGATTTTCTCTCAACTAAAACTAGAGCAAATTTGAGCATAAACAGTCCGTTATAAAATTCCCGCTCAAAGACACAGTGTACGGTTGTAATAGCAACGCGCATTAGCATTTTAGTCTCAAGGGTCAGGCCTAAAGTTCACGTACCAGGACCGTACACGTATAAACGGTCATCTGGCTTTCGTTGGCTTGTACAATAACAAGTGTATACAGTTTCAATCCGGGCTTTCGGGCCGTATAGCTCCCAGGGTTTGGCGTGATTTATGGGAGTTTGACCAAAGTGTGTGGAGTAGAGTTCAGGGCCAGGTCAGCACTGTTACAAGATCAATGAAAAATACGCGAACTATAAAAGCCTTTTCTAAAAAGGGTCATTTGTAGACTAGTTGTATTATTTATGTGGGTTGAAGAGCACGGGGACATCATATTTACACTGTGTTAAAACTTGATTAGTTTTATATATTTCTCAACCTTAAAAAACATCGTTACTTTCTCCAGGTACTGGGTAGGCAGTACACATGTATGCTATACGTGAGTGCACTGGCAGCAGGATGTGGCATGTTTAAACTTTTAACTTCAGCAGTCTTCGAGGGAGGAAGTTTCTAATTATTTTGAAAACCACCCCATACATCTCTTCAAGGTTGTTGCTGTAAGTAATTCAACATACACTGACCTTCTATATACATGTTCTGTAAGATGGTGAAATTAACTTTTAAAATGTGTTGAAAATACACCTTGGTCGAAATTTGTTAAGTGATTACCTGACGTTCACCAGACACCTATATTAATTCAATTTATGTATTCATGAAATTTATCTATACTATAAAATTCAAGACCGTGAACCCATTGCACGCATATCCAAATCCTTCCAACTCAAAATGTTCATACTAGCACGTCCGCCTTAACAAAGTCATTCTTGTCGAGTCATGCGCCAGAAAAGATGCGTGCCCAATACTCTCTAAAAATAACCAAAAAAAACCCACACATTTTGCGTGAACCTCCCCGGCGAGAGCTGATTAATTTTTTAGTAGGTTTTATGTTTTGAAAAAATGCAATGAAGTTTATAATTTTTATCGTTAGATGTCTTTCAAAAATAATAACTTGTATTTCGCAGGAAAATAGCAGTTGAAAAAAAGTAAATAAACTTTCAAAGTGAAACTCGAAAGTAGCGTAGGCAACGGATCTTTAATCAAAATAATTATGAATCAAATTAGGTTTTGCCCTTCACCGACGTATAAACACTCTGTACCCAGTGTGTATTCGCATAAAATAATTATGCGCATATCAAAACTGCAACTGGACGGTTCTTCTTAATATTTAATGAAACTGTTTCGTGTGGAATTTGAATAACTTTAAAAAAGCTTGAGCTCTTTGGTAATCAAATATTTTCTGTATTATATTCAGGTACCTGCATGACATGACTTCGCATGAACTTTTAGAAATGGCAGCCGATTGTGCTTGGTTGTCTAGAAGGGCCAAGATTCAAGGTACGTGTATTAAGAAACTAACCATCGCAGTCACTAAATTGATTGGTCCAAAGGTATCAGCGACAAACACCTTAAATACACTTCTGAACGAGCACCATAGACCTAATGCAATGCCTACTACCAAGACCATAAACTTGCGGAAGAACCAACATTTTGATCGTTACGTACATACATTTGAACATGAAGTTGTTTAGATTACATAAAAATGCGTAAAACAGGCTTGCGCTTTAACTCTCAACCAGGGTTTTTGGTTACCCTTTAAATTTGAGAAATATCCTTGACTTCAGGGTCAACTTGAAACAAGAGGCTCATTTATTTTATCCCTGTCTCTTGTGGGTTAAAGATTGTACATGTAGAAACACAGGCACAGCTCTGCTTGAAGTACATGTATTGAGAAGACAGACATTATCTGGATATACATGTAGTTTTAAATTTCACATCTGGTGAGCCAGCGTGACACGTAGTGAGTGTTTTAGGCCTGAGGCAGCAAACATTAAATGGTTCATAATGTTTAAATAATTGATACATTGTTTTTTGTTTTCCTTATTTTCTTGTCAGATTCGTGTCTTTGGAGAAGTGCCATATTGACAATTAACCTTGCTGAACAAGGAATCCACTTACTTCTACATCTGGATAATCTTCTGTTAAAGGTTCCATTAAATGAATGTTACGCTAAAACATAGATTGGGCAATTAGCCAATCTTAATGGAGGTATTCAAAGAAAATCATGTTGAAATGTCAATATTTTAAAATGCAGGTTTTTGCAAGTTCCCTGCATACAAATATATCTTCACGAACAAACGTTATTCAAGTATCCCTTTCAAGTGTAATTCTTTTTCATAGACTCTGTAGCTACAAAAAAAAAACCAAAACAATTCCTTTGAGTTTTCTTTTGAAGATGTTCCATGGGAGAGAAAGAAATTGAAGGATCTAGATAGAGGACAGATTTAAAAAGCATGTGATTCAGTAGATTAAAAGTTGTCTGATCTATTTTATTTGTTCGATGTGAAAGTCGCCTTCCTATACTATATTTCTCATCACGGACAGTGGAAAATACTAATTTTCAAATACTATTTGAAACCATTATTTTGCCTGAATGTACGTTACGTATAGCACTGTGTATTTTTCATGAATTGATCCAATACATGAATAGGTATTCTCTAGTGTGGGTAACATTGTGATATGGTACCCCTCTGAAGGTGATGTATAAAACCGGTTAGTGGTTAGTGGGTCGACGATAATAGCCCTTGTATTCCGGCTCTGGCTTTATTATTGGCGACCAGACCCTCTATCTTCTAATTGCTCAGTAACAACGTTATTGTCTTGTTAAAAGGTTGGTTCATACTCTGTGAAGTTACGGCAATTCACTTTGTGAAGTTACGGCAATCATTAACGCCAGCGCTAAAAATTCTGGGGAAAAAAGAGTGAACCACATTTAACTCTGGGCAATTTTGAGTCAAATGGTTTCGATGTCAACATTTCAAAATTTGCTTTCACTTGAAGTATGAACCGATCGTCAGAGCTCAGCCCAGTCACTAAGGCGTGAATTCCTTAATGTGGATTCAAGTAAAAGACTTTAATTGTATACCATTCACGAAATGGACCCTGTAGTAAAATGTGCATGTTGATGTGTCCAAATAATTGCAGTGAGTATTAATTACACTTACCGTTTTAGTGATTGCATTTTAGTAATGTTTTTACATGCTGTTGTTTCTGAACACTCTTTGTAATAAAATTAGAGAAACATGAATTACATGTATGTTTAATTGTTTTGTTATCGTTTTCAGAAACATTTCTCCATAAATGCCCAGTAGGCTGCAGTAAGTTGGCCACCATGTTGCAGCAGCATGTCCATTAGGTTGTAGTAACGTGTCCACAAAGTTGCAGCAACGTGTCTTTAAAGTTGCAGAAACGTCCCATTTAGCTGCAATAACGTGCCCGCAAAGTTGCAGCAATGTCCTCATAAAGTTGCAGTAACGTCCCCATAAAGTTGCAGTAACGTGCCCATAAAGTTGCTTAAACGTGTCCAATACGTTGCTTTAACGTGTACAATAAGTTGCATCAACGTGTCCAGTAAGTTGCAGTGACGTCCCAAATTAGGTTGCAGTAACGTGCTAATCAAGTGGTAATCATGTCACCAAAAGGTTGTAGAAACGTGCGTAGAAGTTGCTGTTATGTGTCAATTTGGTCGCAAATAACGTTGCGTCAAGGTGGTAATCATGTGCAATCACGACCAAAAAAAGTTGTGATGTATGTTGCGTTTACGTTGAGGAAACGTCATTGTAACGTTGCGTGATAACGTTGTAGCAACGCGCACGCGAGTCAACATTTTTACGTTGCCGCAACGTCATTTTCCTCACGTGGCAACAACGAAAACCTGACCTTTTTGCAACGTTGTCACAACGTAAATGTGTTAGCTGGGTTTCCAGAAGTTCTTCTTGTCGTTCTGTTATTTCCTCAGGTTACTGGTGGGTGCTCCTAAAGCTCAGACCCCACAGCCTGATGTCGTCCAAGGGGGTGCTGTATACAAATGCCCCGTTGCACCCCTCAACAGCCCAGGAGACTGCGAACAGATACCCTTTGATTTAACAGGTAAGACCACTGTAAATATCTCTCCTTAAAGCCCCACCCCTGTAATCCAACCCCCTCCCCTCCAAAAACAAACACAAGCGCCATTTTTCCCTCCTCCTAAAAAGTATGCCTCCTCTACTCCATGCCCATCCCAAAGAGATGTATATCTTTCAAACTTTTGTACAATTCAGCCAAAACCGAAACAAGTTGACTTGAAAAACTGAGTAGGAAAAAAAAAGTAGGAATTCTCCCCTCTTTTTTTTTTTTTTTTTGGTCCCATGCCATTTCCTTTTCATCAAGAATTGTTTATTTTTGATACAGGCAGCTGAAAAAATACATATATATATTTATTTTAAAAAATGAGAGAAAACTGTGTATTTTAAAGAAGCGTATGTAAATATTAAATTCCTTTTTTTTTTTCAATGGAATTTAATTTTTGTTGGATTCGTTCCACTCTACATGTACATCTGGTTACACTGAAACCTTGCCACATATTTTCTTTTTATGGCAACTCAATGGAATTGAATTCCTATTTATAAATCTGAATTCCAGACAAGCAAATTGTGTGACCTTTGTTGACCTTGAGCTATATATTTCTTTTCTTCATTTGTCTTTTCCTCTTTTTCTTCGCCCTGACTCCACAATTGTCAAGTCCTTGTGTACACAAGCAGTTCTTTTATGGAAGAAAGCCATTCAATTCTTCGAACTAAATGGGTCATACATGTACAAAAAAAACAACACGCTCTTGGCGAGGTTGGTTCCCTGAAAAAACATTGGCGTTGGCTGTCGTTGCTAAAAACAGAATTATGAACTGTGATGAAATTGACTAACCGGTCCGTGCGTGGGTGAGATTGTGCTTGGTTGCGGTTGGAAATCTGTAGTCGTGGCTTTAAGTTGCTGCCATTTAAAAACAAAAAAAAATATTTTAGGATTTATTGTCTAATTACAAATGAGAAAATTTCCCTCATAAATATCCTGGGGGAATTTGGTGGTTTTGACAATGCAGGACATCGGGGAAAATCCCATCCCACATTTGATCAGTCTTATATAAATATTGTTATAGCTATGCTGTAATGATGTGTACAAATAGACTATTAGGCAGGTAAATAACTTTTTAATATTAGAGTGAGGTTTTGTCCTTTTATGACATAATTTTATGCGTACTTGGCAGTGTCTGAATATTGTTCTCACAAGGTATTGAACTGAACAAATTGCTCATAAAATTACTTCAGAACATTTTTCTTCTTCTCACACTACCATTTTACACCGCGGTTCTATGTGAACGTGGACAGATATATGTGAACACCTTGTAAAACTATTATAAATAAACAATCGGACCGTCATTTTTCCCAGTGGACAGCCCAAGTTGTAAGCACACTTAAACACGAACGTCAAGTTGAAGGGTGTCTGTTTGTTTGTAGGTCACACAGTCGATGCGAGGGGAGATCAAGTCGCTGACAAATCACACCAGTGGTTTGGCGCGTCGCTGAAAAGCGCCGGTCCAGATGGTCGCGTGGTGGTGAGTATGCTAAGCACAAAAATTTGCTTAGCACCAAAAAAGTCTGGCTTATAAAAGCAGGTTACCAGCCAAAACTCCATGTGATGTATATTGCTCGTGATTAGTATTAAGCTGTAGTTTGCTTAGCATGAAAACCACTTGGAGTTCTGGCTGGTAACCTGCTTTTATAAGCCAGACTTTTTTTGTGCTTTAGAAGCAAATTTGTGTGCTTAGCAGCACCGTGAAATTGGGCCCAGTTGTCTTGAGGCTTGTACTCACGCAGTTTATAAACCCCCTGGGCCGAGTGCCGTCACTGAGAATCTGTTTTGTTATTGAAATTCAATGACAACGAAGGTTCAAAGTGTGTACTCATACGTATCACAGAGGAACACAGACGTCCTCAGTGAGTGCGCTTTTAATAAGCTGGGGTCTATGGGCTCTGTGCACAAGTACCCCCTCAACGGTAAGAATGGGAGAGTTGGGGGAGACCACGGGAAGAGACATTGGAACGCATTGCTGACGACGCCTGACGCTGACGCAAAGACGCTATATGGCTTTGTGCACGTTCAGAATAAAATTGGTCCTGCTGAGTTTGCGCTACACGAGCGCGAACTAGTACGTGCTTGTGGTGTGCTTCGTCCATTGGGCTCTTGAAATTGGTACAAAAGCGCCCTCTCTTTTTAGCGCACAGAGGCCATAGAATAGTTTATAATTCTCCCTTTTTTCTCTCCTTTCTTTGCCATCAACTGGGATTATTAACCAATTTTGATTCCATTTTGAACCCCCCCCCCGACCTCATCTTTCTCCCCCCGCCCATCCCCTTCGATATCAACAACCTATACATCAGGCCTGCGCTCCCCGGTACACGTGGTTCTTCACAGCAGAAATGAAGGACGAAGAGAGGGAACCAGTGGGTCACTGCTACGTCAGCGAAAACAACTTTTCAGAGTTTGACGAGTATGCGCCCTGCAGGACAACCGATAGTAAGTACATGTATAGCCTTCATGTTTACCGATATTGGTTTTCCTTTGTATCAATTTAAGCAGTTCTGCCAGTTTCCTTTGGTTTTATACTCCCTGAATATTAAAAAGATCTATTTTCTAAAACTTTGAAGAAAAGAAAATTATGCAAAACAGCTTCTCAACTTCAGTGAAATGAAAGGTGTACTGTAAAACGCCGCTATAACGAATGCCGCTATAATGAACATTTGCCTTTGACGAACATCCCCTTTGTTTAAAAAAAAAATATTAAATTCTATTTTAATGCACAATCACTATAACGGACAACCACGGAACGTTTTTTACAGACCCCATCATGTTCGTTACAGTGACGTTTTACTGTATGCAAAAGATGCCCGTTGTTTTCATCCAAGCGTTGAAATATTGTAATTTTAAATTTAAAACATTGCAAAATCACTATAAAATTGCTGATCATAATGGCTTTAAAAATCCATGAAGTTCTCACCGTCATCGTACTGCACTTTCGGGCCCTGTGGCTCAGCTGAACAAAAAGTTCTTTTTACCTGGTAAATGTTGTCGTCCCAATGGTCCTGAGCCTTACTTGTAATTTGTTTACATTTCCGTGAACTCACTGTTGAAATTCCCTTTAGAAATCCTCCATTATGCCTCCAACGAAAGCTGGAAGGTGTTTGCAAGTTGTGAAACACAGGGGAATGCGGTGTGATTCGTGTTAAGTCCAAAGGCTGAAGATTTCACAAGTTTTTCTAAGCAGAAAAGGGCCCTGTTAGGCATGTTTACTGTCGTATAGTCTCATGATACCGTGTATGTAGATTTTGTTACAGGGAAGTTTAAACCCGGCCGGAAATTCACAGTTTGCGGTAATAAAAACAAGAAAATTGATACTAGAGGGTGTTCTTCTTGCCTCTTTTTCCCTGTTTAGTTGTAAATGTCACAGATCTGTCCGATGGTGTGTAGCATTGATGTAAGATCTGTTTTTAGCTGTTCACAATTTCAAATGGGAACAGCTCTTGTTTTCGTTTAAAAAATTCTTTTTCCTTTTTTTTTTTTTTTTTTTTTTTTTAAGCTGTTCCCAATTTCAATTGGGAACAGCTATTGTTTTCGTTATAAAAGTTTTTTTTTTCCCTTTTTTTTTGGACCTGCCAACTCTGCTGGTTCGCGTGAAAAATGTCTTCCAGCCCTAAATGACAACCCAATGATAAAATTTAGGGCTAGGTAACTCCAGCTACATATGTTTAGAAAACTTTAATCTTTTCAAACAAACACTAGCATAATGGAACAGATAGTGCTTAGCTCTTAGAACTGGGACTTAATTCATCGCGACACAACCACGTTTTATGCAATTTCATGACATATTTATGTGACTATAAATTGTTTATAGACAGGGAAGTGTTATAAATGAAAATGTGTATGTCAAGGTCATGTGACCATTACTTCCGGGTTTTTACCAGAAGTGCAATTATGTAAGATAATAATTTCAATTTTAAAAGTAAGAGATTTTTGAAAAAATATTTACATTATTTTCTACTATCCAAAAGACAATAAAAACAAATTGGGAACAGCTCTGTGGTTGTTCAGTTACAACCACATCTAGTTTGTCTTGAAGTGCTGAACAGAAAGAGAAACCTATAACATATGACTTTTCTTATTTAAATACAAAGCAACTGAGAAAGAAACTGGACACAAGGATTAAAAATATAAAAAAAATGGCCTCATGCAATGACTTGTTAGATACATCAGTTGCAAAGTGACAAAAAATGTTGAGCATGTACACAAAAAAACGGGGGACAAAATGACAATATACCGAGCACATCCCTACAACTGTACAAATAATCTACACGTACTATCGTAATCATGTGCTGAAACCTTAAACCTGAAATTTTCTTTCCGACACGGTCGTGATTAACGAGCTAATTTACCGTCAGGATTCTTACATCTCAAGTTTTGTTTTTTTCCCCCGTCTTTCTGTCCCTTGCGGTTATTCACTTGTTCCTCTCACCACCCGTCTCCACGCATATTTCATCTGCGATTCTTACAATAAACGCAGCGCGCGCGGCACACTGGGAAGATTGACTGCGAGCGCTTTTGTTTATGTTTATGACCATCACGGGCATCCCGCCTGATTATCGAAACGTCCCGCGTATAAGCCGGTAATTACTTGATGAAACTGACATTGCCCGGTATCTGACAGTGATGCCCGCGGGGGGGTCGAGACCCGGCTTAATTGATTTTTTCAATTTACGGTGCAGCTAGCGAGACTATTTATGTACATGTGTACATGTAGGAACAATACTATAAACCAACCTGCCTGTGTACGTGATCATGCTTGCCACAACAGGCAAGCTAGATAGAAATCAGTCCAAAATTTATTTGTCAAATTGTAACTTGGTTCCTGTGCGGCCTAGATCCTGGAGCTTACCCCCAAAATATATCCCCAATTTATTGATTTATTAAGTGCAGTATTAAAGTGGGTTTTAGATGAGATAAAAATGCATTTCATTTGACGTACATGTAGTTGAGAGCTGACAAGAGAAGAGGCTAAACCGTGCGGTGCTTTCTACAGTAACAGACTAAAGCACGACTTTTCCTCCATGAAATACGACTCTGAGGAACAGTGTGGCGCCTTGGAGACCAGCATTTCTTTCAACAGTTTTTCTTCCGGATCTGAGACTCTTCAGAAAAGGGAGAAAAAAAAGATGGTTTTGCAATTTAAGACTTTTAAATCACCAGACGACATTTTAGATCAATGTCGAAAGATGGAGTCTACTCATTTGCATCATTTCTGTCCTGTTACAAAATTTCAGCATCTTTATCTTTCCAAGTCCTTTTTTTTGTTTTTTTAAAGTTACGTACTTACGTTAAGTCCTTCCCGTGATTGAGTTTAAAAAAAAGTTTAAATTTTATTTAAAAAAGATCAAAATTACTGCAGATAAATTCTCTGTGACGAATTTTGCAATTTTGATAGGCACGATCTTGAACTGAATTTGAAGAGGAACTGTTTAGAACATATTTTGAAATTTGTTAAAACTTTCAACAAAAATTTGAAACTGTTTTGCTAAAAAAATGGTAAAAAGTTGAGAAAAGTTTGTCAATTTCAGATGAAAAAAAATGAAAAATCTGCTTTGCAGTTTACTGTGCCTTGTAAATTTTTCAGTAAAATAGTTTTATGTTGGAGAAAAAAAACTATTTAAATCTGCACAGAAAGTTGCACAAGAGATTTAATAGGAAAAGATGTCAGATGGTCAGGTATTTTTTTCCAGTTTTGAAGGATCACTGTTTGTAACATTCAAGGTTTTCACTACCCTGGCGCAGATACTGAAAGAAAGGAAATGTGTTGCATGCTGTTTACATGCTCATCAATAATAATGTGATGTATAAAACATTGTTGAGTGCCACTTCTAGCCGACACCCGGCTCTAGTGTGCTCCAAAACAAGTGGGCCACAGTGGTCATGTTTTCCCTGCGATAAAAATGCAAGCCATCATGTAGCTATTTTAAGGAGAGAGTATAGTTTTCCCTGCACTGTGTTTTTTTTTCCCTTCTTTTTTCTTCTGTGGTTCGGGGAACCTGAATTCGAACTTCTTCATGAATGATTAAAATTGGAAAACAAGACACTTGGGTAGCTGTCAGGTGGGATAAAGTGTCCGGTTTGCGGTTAGCTGTGGCGGCTGTGGCTACCGGTGCGTGTGTGTGCATTGCATGCCAAACTTTGAATCGTATGCAGCAAAGTTTACTGCAGGTTTCTTTCTCCGTTGATGTGCAGAAAATTACATGCTTTCTTGGGATTGGGACAACCGTAAAACTTTATGTGGATTTTTCATAATAAAATTGATATCCTGAACTGACTGAGAATGCTGTCCATTTTTATTGCACATTTCTGACCCTTTAGCCTTTGTATTAAATTGTATTACATTGTATTTATTGTCCCTGTATCCATAAAACTATTGAGAGCTGAGGCAGTTTGGGGCGGTATAAGGAGTAATAGACAGGGCAGTACAATAAATGGATTAATCAACCATACCGTGACCATGAATGTGAGCAGCTGGACAAGGTAGAACAATATCTATGTTTCTGTTTTGGTTTCATGTTTTTTCCCCCTGAGAACTTTTTAAACACAGGATACAATGAATGCCATGCAAATAACAATATCAGTACACATCTTTACAACCCTAACTCCCCAGGCATTTTTGCTAGGATGTAACCTCAATCCTGCAAAATCCTCCAACTGCCTCCATGTAAAATTGCATCCAGCCTGAATGCTGCAAAATCCTCCTTTATTTCTTGAATGTGGTCCTTGGAGGGGTGACCACTGCCTCAATCTGGCAAAATCCTCCAGCAATCACTGTCAATATGTTGAGGCAGAGCCAGTGACATCCTTGAGCAGTGCGGAGGTTTCAAGTACCTAAATTTATGCACAGCTGAGCATAAAAAACACAAGGTCTGGCCCCGAGACCTTGACACAGTGCGTCCTCCATGCTCAGCCACACATTTTTGCCATATAGCCTCAATCCTGCAAAATCCTCCGTTTTGCAAAGATGATTTTGGAGGATTTGGAAGGTTAATAGGGTTAATCAACCATACCGTGAACATGAACGTGACCAGCTCAATTAGGCAGAACAATATCTATGTTTCTGTTTTGGTTTCATGTTTTTTCTTTTTTTTTCCTGAGAACTTTTTTTAACACAGGAGACAATGTATGCCATGCAAATACTAATATCCAATACACATTGTAAATTACTCATTTGACATCTTTGATTGATTTCAGTGAAAACTCCTCAAACTAAAAACAGTTTTCAGCAGTGATTTAAACACATCACTGCACCAAGTTGACCTCTTTTGAATCTGCTGAAAGCTTTATTTTTACAAGAATTTGACGCCACTTGTTTTTCTACGTGTGTCTGCAAGTGCCCTGTGAAATCGACAAAGTGCCATGAACTGAATGCAAAATGAGGACAGAAATATGTTGTTTTATGAACGGTGTCCTTTTTTTTTTTTTTTTTTTGCATG